TGGTGTTTATGAATATGTTCCTTTTATAGTTTTCTTAATGRTTGCTCTCAGAATTGCAATATACATATAAACCTTATCATGGCATGCTGGTATATGTTTTACCACTTTCCGTTATWTGTATAAACTTTATTTTTATTTAGAATCTATTATCCTCCTCAGTTTTTAAGTATAACTATCCAATTTTCTCAACATAAATTGAGCACATGTCAGATGATAATATTATCTTTTTTACATTTAACTCTTTTTAATACAAAAGACAGACARCAACTTCACTATGCTATGGAAGGAAAATGAATCCCTTGCAGTATATATCACTGTCTTATAGCCTTAACATAGCTTCCAAATGAATGAACAAACTCGAATCCTTATTTATGCTTTTAGGCAACAAAGTGCCTTTGAGGAGAGCCACATGACTGTTCAAATGCAGTTAGACTCAGGGGTGGCTGGATACATCACGGCAAAGCTATAGATGCCATCCTTTTTCAGTTCCTAGGGTCCCATCCCTTTTCTCACAATCAATTTCAGGGCTAAAATTTAAGGGTTACTAAAATGCAGGTATCCACATAAGATTTCTAATGTAATTGGTGAAATGCAAATTGATCTTGTTACATTCTGAAGCCAATCTCATTTTCATTTTAAAAAATCAAATTAATATTTAAATGATATCTGTTTGAAGGCACCTCATTATTAGCCTGCCTGTGGCTCTTACTTGACTTAGCTCTTTTATCCTAATTTATATTTGAGTTTTAGCACTGTCAGCAGTGCTTCCATTCACTGTTAACTAATTCCCTGGTATATTCTCTTAATTGATCTCTTTCTTTTTAAGCCCCAATCTCTTCCTCTCAAGCTCCTTTGAATTATTTTCTGATGCAATAGAAAAAATATTAAGGTAGCTGATTTGAGCCCACTCAGCATCCCATATTCCCCTTGAAACTTCCCCCAGTGTGAGAAAGAAAATATGTCTCTCATTTTCAAGGACAACCCCACTGCTCAAGCCTCTCAACTCTTAGGATTTCACTTTTCCTACGATCCCATCTTTTTCCCTCTAGAATTTCAAGCTTTTGCTCAGTAATTTCCAATTTTGTCTTCATCTATATGTAGATTCACTGTCGTCTCTTTCAAAAACTCTACCTTGAATCTTCTACTCCTAGCAGTTTTCTGTCCTGTCGCCACCCATCATATTCTTTGTGATTTTATATCTTGGGCTCTTTAAACCCCTTTCTCTAATAACCCTTTGCAATTTAATTTCTATCAACTTCCTCTATGAAAATTGCTCAGTGCAAGTATGCCAAGTGACCTTCTTCTGCAGAATTTCCTTGCTTCTTTTTCTACCACAGTTTTGCTTTATTTGATATCATTTTTATGGGTTCATACAACTCTCCCTCTTACAGTGACCATGAAACAATAGTATTCCACCTGCCATCTTTGAYTTTGGGAATCCATTAATATTGTGCTTAGACTTTCACTCTTCTTTTTCCTTAAAACCACATATCTCCATGTTTTTTCAATTCTGGTTCTCTTAGTCAATCAACACTCCTTCTGACCCGTATCCAGCATTTATTTGCTTTTCTTCAGATTCCTTGCCATAGTGATTACCATTTCTTTGCTTTCACTCAGGTAGTTTAGCCTGKGTGGCCCACCTTGCCCTGTGCTAATCGAAATCCAACATGCTTGTTCTCCAAGGCCAACTAGCAACCTACTTCATTAGGCCTTGCTTAAGCATTGCAGGACATTGAAGTCTTTGTCTAAAATCAAGTTAGACTTGTAATTTTCTTGGCAAGATAGTACTTCCTAATAGTCTCTAGTTGTCTCAAATATATAGTCCTCATTTCATTAACTATCCCTCTGAAAGCATGAACATAATTTTTATTCCCTGAAAGGCTTGCCATGTGTTAGGCATACAGAAGTTGCTTAATGAATTTGTTTAGCAGCTTAATGCTAAATAAATGTTCTAAAGAAGTAAAGATAGTTATATCATGTTATTGGTACTTCCACAGTGTGTAAAACTAGGCTTTTTAAAGTGTATTTCTCAGGAGGCTACATGAAGTATTACTGACACTGATTGAGAAAGAGTATGACCTCTGAAGGCAGATTGCCTGGGTTCAAATTCTGACTCTCACCTACTGGCTGTGTGACTTTGGGAAGGTTAATTAATGTTTTTGTGCCTCATTTTCTTTCCTTGAAAATAAGAGAAAACAACAGTATCTGCATTATAGAGCCATTAGGAAGTCAACTGAGTGTTGTCAGATACTTAAGACAATTTGGAGCATGTAAAAATTGCTCCCTGAATGTCAGCTATTACTAAGTGTTTATTAAATATAGAATGAGAGCACCTCAGAGGTTAAAGAACTTTCACTTTATAAGTGAAAAGAGAGTGAGGAATTAAGGTAAAATGATTGGCTCAAGACATATGGCTAATTTAGAGGCCATGTCAAAACACAGCTCTCATGATTCCTATTCAGTACTTAGGTTTTTCTCCCTAAAGATTTCTACACATGAACATGGACTGAATTATAGACCCTTAAAGTTGTAAGAGACATTCAGGTCTCTTCAGTTTAACTTTTCCATAAGGGAACATACTGCATGATCACTTGTCACAAACCTTGTATTTTTTGCAAACAGTCCATTTTACAGATTCTTAATCATACAGAAAAGAAAAAAAAATACTAACAGAACCTGCGCTAGGATTCCCAAGTTAAGAAACCCAGGAGGTACAGGAATGGATGCCAAGGTCAGGTCCCTGGAGTTCAGATGACCACCACTGGACCATTTTAATGTTCATCTTTTGAAAAATAAGATTTCTTTTTCAGGGAAAACATTGTCTGGAATATTCATTATAAAACTGTGATTCAGGCCATCCCACACATCCTTGAATGTTTTGCAGATAGTATCCTTCCTGGTAAGAATCTGAAATTATGATTTTGATGAACTCTCAACAATACTCCTTAGCAGCCAGGAAAAGGCTCAGGAGCCAAATACCAATACCAGGCATAATTTCTGTGGGTTTCAGCTTTCTGTGTGGTTCTCTGGAACAGTATTCAGCCTGGTTGTGCAATCAGCTATGCCAGGGTTTTTAAATTCAATCTAGCAGATATAGACTCTCAAGAGGAATTACAGCAATAAAAGATTGCTATTAACTAGGCACAAATAAACCTGTGTGTAAGGATTCTCTCATCAAATGCAATGAAATGCTATTCCCCGTCTCAATTCAACACTAAGAGAAGAGATTTAATTTCTCTTTAATGCAAATGAAATTGTCATATGTAAAATCAGCAGTAAGGGAGAAGGCCAAACTGAGTAATTACATTATGTGTCCACAAAGCGTGTTCATCAAACACTTCCCCCACCCCCTCACTACAAACACAATTCAGGGAATCCACTTCTCTGTGGGTGATTATTTTAAATGTATGAATGTAGTATGCAACCTCTGAGCTTTATGGCTTGGGATTTTAATCCTCAAAACAGAAAGGTTTTATTACCTGAATCTGAAAGTTGTGTTACCCACTTGATAATGCAGATTCAGCAGACAGACTCCACAGGGTGCTCTGTCCTTCCTTTGTGTTTCTGTAGTATTTTATTTATATCTCTAAACTTACTCATGACAAATTGGCTTGTTACACCTAGCTGTATGTTTTCTTTATATAATATAAACTTCTGYGGAAGATTTCATACCTTATATATCTCTGTATTCTCCCACAGCCTTATGGTGTCTGGGACATAGTATATGCTCAATAAATGTGTTATAATTATTTAATTTTAACTGTACATATCCTAAGGATTTCCCACTTATAAAGTGTTATTCTAATGGATTCATATCTTTGACACATCTTTGCGTTTTCACTTCTGAGAACTTTCGCTTTTGGAACACGAAAAAGAGTCTTGAGCAGACTGGCACTCTAATTTAGATGGCTATAGTAAGGGAGTGCCTAGCAATTTTTTTTTTTTTAATAGAAACTTTATGAAGACTTGCAGAGATTTCAAGCTTTCAGTTAAGGAGACCAAACTACACTGTGTCCTGGGACGCAGGAAAGGAGAGAATTCACAGGCATAATAGGAGGATATCTCAGAAAGACTATGCTATTTAAAAGAAAAACCCAGCCCCCAAGTCCTGACTCTAAAAGCCAGTAAGTATACATGGATCACTGGTATTTTCGCTGCCTACCTTTTCTYTTTTATGATTTTTCTGAGAATTTTTCAGGTTTAATGTTCAAGAAATATTTAGTCCATGCCCAGTCGGCCCACAGTGACAGTACAGGATTAACTAACTGAGAAACCTTCTCAGCACAGGGCCTTGTGTAACTCCACTGGTCCCACACCTAGGAAGCCAGCTCTTGTAAATAAACAAGACGCTGCTATGTCCTCAAAGAGCTTCTGAACAGTGGAAAGCCAAAGATCAGTAACTATGGCTAGAAGCTACAATTCAAGTATAGACAAGCAGTTGTTGGAACCCCAAAGAAGTTCCTGTGTAAAGACTTCCCAAGGAGCGTGAAAGTCAAGCTCATTTTTGAGGGATCAGTTTAAGAAAGAAGAATGATATTCCCGATGGAAGGGGTACCACTGAAGGCAGGCAGAATTCACCTGTTAAATTTCAAAATAGGATTGCTTTTAAGGAAGTTGGGATATAAGGATGACAACTGAGACTGAGGATGAAGACAGGCAGAGGCCCAATATATGTGGGGAAGGACTGAACAAAGTCCTTATCGTGTGCTGAGTTCTTTCCCCCTGTCACCACTTTAAACACTCTTCAGCCCAGCACAGTACTGTCCACAGGTTTGGCCCACAGCAGCCATCATTATTTCTTGAGGAATAAATGCTGACTCTGTTTGATTGAAGACCCCGGACGCTCCACCCTCACACCGAGCTGCCAAATGGGCTTTTACTTCTTCAGGGGTCCTTTCCGCCTTTTTCTAGTACCCCAAATTGTCCCTCCCGTCTCTCGTCCCGCCTCCGCGTCTCCACATGCCGGAAAGTGGGCGACAAAAGTACTTCCGGGTGGTAAAGGTCGGCCCCGGCAAGATGGCGGCCCCCTTGGAGCTCAGTTGCTGGGGAGGCGGCTGGGGGCTCCCCTCCGTCCACAGCGAGTCCCTGGTGGTGATGGTGAGGCCGCCTCGCGGGCCAGGGCGCGGGAAGCAGGGGCGGGGCCAGAGGCGAGAGGCCAGCCTGACGCGGTTCTCTGCGGCGCTGCGGGATCGTGGCGGGCCCGGGCGCTGCTCRCTGCACTTGCTTTGGGCTCACTTCGGTGGACAAGTCACAAACTGGCCTTGTGACCCCGCGGTGGCCCGGCGGGAGCATCATGGCTTCCTGCTTGGCTGCGAGTTTTCTTAGCTTTGCAAAGCTGTCTGGGCCKTGCCGTGAAAGCCTGCTGCGCTCCGCATCCCCGGGACCTTTTGGGGAACAAGGTTCGCGAATGCCGGGTGGCTGGTGCGCCCGTCCCGGACTTGAGATCAATGGGAGGGACTCGGCCTCTGTGTCAAGCAGGCGCCTTCTGCCTTGGGGGACGGGACTGTGAAGTAAAGCTGCTGTGCAGATTTGCATTACGTCCTCAGTCTAAAATGTTTTATTGCAAACTCTGTTTCAGGCTTATGCCAAATTTTCTGGTGCACCCTTGAAAGTCAATTTCATAGATAACACCTGGAGAGGTTCAAGAGGTACAGTGTAAACTTTTAGACAACCCTTTCTCCCCTTAAAAAAATTTTTTTTCCCCTTTCATTTAATGTCATGAAGCATATGGTCCTACAGTTCCTTGGGGGTTTAGTTTATTCTTACCATGACCTTGGCAGTGTGTTGCTTATGGTTTGATCATTCTGAGTAATAACTCAAAGTTCAAGCCAAATCAGTGGAAATTATGAGAAATGAAAATGTTCTTTAGAACTGCTTTTTGTGAAATTGCAAAAAACTAAGGCGTACTTACTAATTCCACCCCACCCCCTGTAAATGTGCAATTAGTGTAGCTATCAGGGTATTGGAATCTAGTCAAAAGAAAACACAATGGTTTTTTTGTATGTCAACTTTTTTTGAATTGTAGGTGATGTGCCAATTTTGACAACTGAAGACAACACTGTTTCTCAGCCGGCAAAAATACTAAACTTTTTAAGAAAACAGGTGGGTGGTTCTTTTTGAAGAAGATTATAGATTCCTGGGTGTTACTTAAACTACAGCAAGAAGAAACATTGTAAAGTGTAGAAGTTCTTTTTTTTTTTTTTTTTTTGCAATTGATTAGATAATTGGTGATACCTGGGATTTAACAAAAAATAAACTTGAGAATCACTGCTGTCAACCATGAGCTTTACTGTAATTTGAAAATCATATGGTGAGGTCCAGACAATATATATTTTCTTTCTTTTCTTTTTATCTGTCTAGAAATTATATATTTTCTTTCTTTGTGTATCAGGGATTGAACCCAGGGTTGCTTTACCACTATATTCCTASCCCTTTTAAATTTTTTTGTATTTTAAAATAGGGTCTCTCTAGGTTGCCCAGACTGGCCTGGAACTTGCCATCCTCCTGCTGTAGCTTCCCTAGTGCCTGGGTTTATGGSCCTGCAGGTGCCATGGTGCTAGACAGTAAATATTTTCATATACTTTGCTGGACTTTATTGAAATTTATATATAAGAAAATTCAATTTGGGTGTTTTCACAATTACACAGTTTAGTCACATAGTTGCTACACATTTTAAGCTGGATATAATATCTGAGTTTCCACCAAATAGCAATTATTTATTGCTTTTTGTTTTTTAAAATTTTTTCTTAAGATGGACCCAATATCTTTATTTATTTATTTTTATGTGGTTCTGAGGATGGAACCCAGTGCCTCACATGTGTGAGGCAAGTGTTCTACCTCTGAGCTATAACCCCAGCTGCAGTTGTTTATTTCTTAAAGCACTTATTGGATAATGTTAAATGTTTAATTAAACAATGTAACTAAAATGTTTGAACATGTAAATATTTAAGTAATGTATCCAAAATGTTTAAACRTGGGAAGATTTATATAAGTGCAGAAGTTTATAATTGGGTTTGCCAATACTTTAAAAAAAAATCTGAGTTAATACAGTTTTTTTCTAAATTTGAAGATTTCCTATCTTTTTTCATGGAGAAAAATTAAACCAAGTGGATTTTTTTTTCTTTTTGATAATAATACTCACTTTTGTTTATTAACTTTGTATTAACTTCTATGTTCTGAACTAGGTCATTAACAAGTATTGAAATAATATTAATATATAAAATYATAACTATTTATAGTTTTCATGATATAGTGCTGAGAACCTTATATGCATTAAGCAACAGTTTTACTGTGTTTATATTTCTTTTTCCCTTTTAATGTCATGTTTGCCACTTATGAGGAAAAGAATAGGAATCCTAATTTGTTTAGCCATCCTTGGGATGTTCTTTAACTTCTGAGGTTCTTTGGTTTTATTTTTTAATAGAAATATAATGCTGATTATGAACTGTCAGCAAAGCAAGGGGCAGATACACTGGCTTATATTGCTCTCCTTGAAGAGAAGCTTCTCCCTGCTGTGGTGAGCATTCACGAATATTACAGTGTTTTGGTGGCTTAATTGAAAATATTTTCAGTTTGTTTAGAAGGAAAACAATGAAAAGGACTTAATGGAATTTCATTTGTTTTAATATTAATTCTTTCTTATTAAACAAGTATATGATACATCAAAATGAAAGATTATATCATTTTGGAAATGAAAATTCTTTGTGGGAGATGAAACTTTTTGTTCCATGCATAGAATTGGTTGAATTGTAATTCATCATTCAGCACATACTTACTGAGCACTTACAATGTGCTAGGCCGTGTTCCCGGTTCTTGGGATATTAGCAGAAACACACACATTAAAAATTTTGTTTTATCTTGAGGCATTCTAASTGGTATGAAGTCATTTAATAGATATTTATGAAAAACTCACATATGATTGATTTATCTTTCTTGTTAAAGGACATCATTGGAATGTTTTCTYTCTCCTTTTGCAGCTTCACACATTCTGGGTTGAGAGTGACAATTACTTTACTGTAACAAAGCCATGGTTTGCYTCACGAATTCCTTTTCCCTTGAGTTTGATTCTACCTGGAAGGATGTCCAGAGGGGCATTGAATAGAATTCTCCTGACAAAAGGAGAGCCTCCCCTCTACCGTGTCCAAGAAGTAGAAGCTCAGGTATGGTCTGGATTATTCTCCAAGTGAGGGATCCCCAGGGAASGGATAGGAGAGAGAACACAGAGGGACTTACCTAGAGATGCTATCTCAAGAGCAGTTTCAGAGCATCATTCCTACTTTTGAGATCTAATTTCATTTTTATTAGATATACAGAGATGCCAAGGAGTGCCTAAATCTTCTGTCAAACAGATTGGGAACATCTCAGTTTTTCTTTGGAGATACGTGAGTACATGCCCTTAGAAATATTGACATTTTGTGTTTATATGGTCAGAGAGCMGTTATTTAGAGCAAGTCTCCCTATTCCCTCCAAATATGAGTCACTTTAAAAAAAAAAAAAGAGATTTTAATGGGTTTTTATTACAGAAAACTTTTTCTATCAGTAGTRATCAAACATTGGCTTAATATGTTATATAAGTGAATGTAAAACATAAACAATTGTTCCCACTCTATCTCCTGTCTATTTAAYACTTGTGAGTAAAAATATCTGTAATTTACAAGTTTATTTTCTTCTAAATAAAAYGGAGTATTTAAAAAACTATGTAAAGGGCAAAATTCTTTTTGTATCATCTTAATAAACTAAAATTGGTAGTAGAGGTTTTTAAAACAATATTGTATACGTCATACTTGACAAATATTTGAAAAAATTTTAAACACAATCCCAATTAATATTTTCTTATGTATTTTTTAAAAAAATTCTTAATTTATTTCTAGGCCTTCTACCTTGGATGCCTATGTGTTTGGTTTTCTTGCACCTCTTTACAAAGTACKGTTTCCTAAAGTTCAGTTACAAGAACATCTGAAACAGCTGTCCAACCTRTGTCGCTTTTGTGATGATATCCTAAACAGTTACTTTAGGCTTAATCTTGGAGGTAAGCTGTTTCTTCTTCATCTAATATTTGTTTGCATAGAGTATGGGGATGCATAAGCAAAGCTTTTTTCTTATTTTAATAAAAAAAAAGTGTACATTGTCTATAAATACTGGTTTACACACTTCAAGAAGAAGCATTTTCCCAATTTCATTTCCTTCACAAAATAGAGAAATAGGCATTTATTTTGTATTCCTCATGATTTCATATATTTCTTGTCTCTTTAAATGTTACCCTTTGAAGTGGTAACATTTTATTCTGGAAGATTAAATGATAAGTATTAAGTCCCTGCTTAAAAAAATAGTATTTATTCTAATGCAAATGCACAATTACTTTAAATGATTTTTACCTGCTTCTAGCATTTTCCTGTGTGAACAGAAATTAGTAGCAGATTGATTTTGGTGAGGTGCATTCCCATGATTCCAGTACTTGAAAAATCATTGCATCAAACTGGAGGTATAGTAAGTAGAGGGAACCTGTCACTTAAGATTCAATTCTTTTGAGTGTGGGGCCTTGTGCTTAAGTGATTGTGATACTAAATTTGTATTGGGAGAGCTGGCTGAAATCGCCCTTTAAGAAGTAAAAGTTATAAAGATAGATGGCATAGGTGGAAGTTTATTTTTGATGTGCTTTGTACCTAGGGTGGGATTAGTGGTTGAGAGTCTTGAAGCTAACTAACATTCAACCTTGTTACTTTGAAGCAGAGGTTAGCAAACCTGCCTAACAACAAATAAAAATCTTGTCCTCTTCTAGACTTATTACATTAGAATCACCTAGGGACTGATTCCAGAAAGCTGTAGTGTTTAAARGCCCTTTAAATATTTTGGGTGCCTTGTGAGCAGCTATTTGGAAGTCAGTGGTTCAAAAAGCTTTCCAAATAGTTGTGACCAAAGATCYATTTGAAAGGGTGAAGAAAAGGTCCAACTTAAATTTCAAAAGGAAATATGGACTGCTGTGCTTTTACTAATTACTGCTGTGGCTGGCTGCATATCACTTGGCTCACAGTGTCTTCTATGTGGAGAAATTTTAGTTCCTTTGTTGAGGGTTTGGTTTGGAGCATTACTATTCTTCCTAATTTTGCTTTTGAATCTAGAATGATTTTTCTCTTTGTCTTTTATTTTTGGAGGGTGAGGCACTTGGGAGGGTGGGTAGATTCAAAATTCTTTTAATAATTAAAACTGCTTTAAAGGCTTTCAAAATTTCCTGTCTTTCTCTGATTTCTGCCCTGGCTTCATAGGCATCTCTCCAGCTGGACAAGAAACAGTAGATGCAAATCTGCAGAAACTCACACAACTTGTAAATAAGGAATCCAATTTGATTGAAAAGGTCAAGTTTACTTCGATGATTATTTTACAGTTGTTTAGTATTTTCCATTCTGTGGTCAATGTTGTAATTTGGGTGATACGTTAACTTTACCCTTGAAATTTTTTAAAGAGTTTATAGAAAACYGTTTAAATATACTTTTACTAAAATTGTATATAATACAGTGTTTTAGAGCCTATAGTGGCCTGTTTACTATGGGGAAAGATCAGATAACATTATTATGTTTATTTTTACCACACAATTTGTACATATCAAGCTAGAAGACCCAAAAGCTTGACTTTAAAAAAGAAACAAAACCAAAAGCAGTTCTTGCTTGTTTGTCTGCCTTTCTCTGTCCTGAGGATTATATTCACCTGGACTAGTACATATATTTTCTTATTATAAGCACCATGATGTCTTTTTTCTTTCTTGCACATGATCTGTGTTAGTTTTTCTCCTTCTTGTCCTTCTCTGTTCTGAATGTAGTCTACAGTGTTTCACCAGTGTATATATTTTCCCTCTTTGAGGTATTCATTTTGTGAAAGAGATATTGAAAAACAGGTAAGGGAGAGAACCAGCAATGTAAACTTCAAGAGTGATTGTAATTGGAAAAGTATGCAAAGGTTGCACATTTTTTCCCCAAGTGTCTGATGAACTCACTTTTTTCTTTTGTGAGTAAATAATACTTCATTTTTTCAAGGACACTGAGGCCTCATAACACTRGCTAGCAGTTTCCGGGGTCTAACAAATACCATGATACCATAAGCATAGAATGGTTTATCTCTTTTTCATCTACCATCATGTACTAATCATGACTTATTTTTGTAACAACAGATATAGGCATTTATTAATAAAAAAGGGCGAGGATGACACAGTTATTKTGGATGGAATTGTGAGAATTTGGCATCTTCTCTGTGCTTATGTGCATTTTTTTCTAAGTACAAAGATTATACTGGTTTATTTTGCAGAACTTTGAAGATGAATGCCATTTTTAAATTTAAKAAAGAGAGGCCTAAACATGGTACCTTTAAATATGTTGAACAGTTTCTATCCCCTCCCACCCCAACTTTTCCTTCCTACCTCCCTTTAGTCTCCCTCCTTTACTGATATTCTTTTCACTCCTTTATTTATTTATTTTTRATTGGTACTTTCTTGTGTACATATGTATATGAAATTCTCTTTGCTACATTTATATATGCATATAGCATTATTTTGTTAAATTATTCCGTTATTTTGTCCCCTTTCCCTTCCTTCCTCCCTCCTTTTCCTCTTGCTTCACTGATCTTCCTGATATATTTATGATATCTGCTCCCGCCCCACATCACCTCTTTCCTTTATTTTGTTCTAGCTTCCACATATGGGGGAAAATATTTGACCCTTGAGTTTTGGAGTCCAGCTTATTTCACTTAGCATGATTTTCTCCATTTCTGTTCACTTACTGGCAAATRCCATTTTTTCATTCTTCTTTATGGCAGAGTAGAACTCCATTGTGTGTATAGACGACGTTTTCTTGATCTTTTGACGGGCATCAGGTTGATTTTATAATTTGACTATTGTGAATTGTGCTGCTACAAACATTGAAGTGTCTGCATCACTATAGATGCTGATTTTAGTTTTTTTTKGATAAATACCAAGGAGTGGGATAACTGGGTCATATGGTGGTTCCACTGCTTTCCAGAGTGGTTGTACTAATTTGCAGTTTCACCAACAGCATGTCAGTGTACCTTTTCCCCACATCCTTGCCAGCATTTATTATTTGTGTTCTTGATAATTAACATTCTGTCTGGAGTGTAATGAAATCTTAGTGTTGTTTTGATCTGTGTTTCCGTGATTGCTAGAAATGTTGAACATTTTTTTTCCATATTACAAGCACCATTTGTTGACCATTTGTGTTTATTCTTTTGAAAAACTTCTGATTTTAAAACTCACAGTAGATTCTTTGTGCAGATACTGTTATTGTCCCCATTTTACAGATGAGGATACTGAAGCTTTGAGAGTAGCTTATGTTGCTTGCCCGAGGTCATTCAGCTGGCAAAAAATTGAGAGCACACTTGAACCCTGGAAATAAGACTTTAGCATGAGCTTTGTAGTTACCCCCAAGTAGTCACTGCCTAGCTCATGGATGAGATTATGTCTATTACTGGAGTAGTAGCAATTAGGTTTATCACTGTCATTCTCTGGGATGACCTTCTTTTTCTTCTTGTAGTATTTTGTGTGTTGTAATTTGAGAAGTGAATAAAACTGGATAGTAAAATTACAAGTGCTAYTATTATTGAAGTTTTGGTGTATTTGAAGTTAAAGCCAGGTCTGACTCAATTCTTTGCACAGTTCAGTAAATCTCATGAAAGCAAATAGATGAAGTGTTAAGTGGGGATAAAGGAAAGATCACTGTCTACTACATGAAGGCTATCTGGTGGAGTTTCCRTTTCTGTGTGGTGAATTCAGGACAGACATGAAAAGGGACCTATGAAATACCTGCATATGCAGACGGTAAAATCAGGAGGCCCATCACCACGTTGTACATAATCATCTTGGGTCATCACCAGTTTATGAAAGTTTTCTAACCCATTGTAGTCCGGCATTCCCCTCCCTTTGCTGCCCACCCATTTGTATCTGATTCACTGGTTGCTGCAGGATGACAGGACAACAAACCCTGTTAGCTGCCACWGTCCACAATTTGGACAGAAAATCTAGAGCTTAAAAATAAATCATGCTTGAGGAACTAGTTCTTGCAAGAAAGAAAAGACATCTTAACATAATTGATCTAAAAATTCACTAGTAATATTTTTTTTCACTGGAAAACTTAAAAAGTTGAACTTTTATTTTCTTTCTTCTCCTACAAACCCTGTGTACCTCTGCCAAAATTTTTGTTTTTTAAGCATCTTGAGAAGATAAGGGAGAGTTTGAATGGTCTGCATCTTGTAAAATTCTAGAACAGTTTGCCTATGAAGTTGGTGGAAGGATGCTATTTTCTGTTGGTTTTGTGGTTTTGAAGGCAGCTGCTTTCAGGTCTCTTATGAAGTTCAACTGATAGTAAACTCAGCACCAGAACCTGAATCTTGTACCTTGTGGGGTGGTCTGATTAAAGATAGTTTCTGATGTCTGACTGAATTCTCAATAATCCATATRTTAGTGTTTCAAGAGTACTAATATGCTTTCTCTTGGATAAGTTTGGAGTTCTTGGTTATAAATATGCTCCATATTAATTTGTTTCTCAAAGGCAGACTTAGGACTGATCCAATATTTGGAAGACCTCTGGATTGGATCTGAGGAATTTGACCTCCTTTGTGCCCCTTTTCCTAGCTTCCCTGAACTACATACTCAACTTAAAAGAACTGGTCTTTTTGAGTGCAGTACAGGTTGCTGTCAGGCAAAAATGTARAGTTGAAAAAACAATTGTGTTGTAGTTGGAAGACCTGGGTTCAAGTTTCAGCTGTGATACTAGCTTTGTGAACTGGACAAAACCACTTAGCCTTTCCAAGCCTCATTTTTCTAATCTGTAAAACAYAGAAGGATGATGTCTGCCTTTTCTTCTTCACAGTGTGTTAGGAAGATCAAATATGATATTGTACATGAATATACTTTATAAACCATGGCACTTAGTATATGACTTGTACTGTTAGAAGACTTCTTAAACTAAGTCTTGCTATGGTTGAGTTCAGTAGAATATTCATTTTGTAGAATTACTATAATTTTGTGATGGTATCAAGGATGAGCCATGTTGCTTTTTACAGATACTGAGTCAACTGGTATTTGAGGTATGACATTTAGAATTCTTGAAAGATTATTTGTTAAAATGAAGGTTTCTCTAGCGGTCCAGGAAACATATGGTTCTGTGTTCTTCTAGTCTGTAGTTTGGATGGGGACRGCACAGTCCACGTAAGTGGTGCCAYAGCCTTAGTTGTATCTTTTGTACCTTCTACAGATGGATGACAATCTTCGCCAAAGCCCTCAGCTTCCTCCTCGGAAACTGCCAACACTCAAATTAACTCCAGCTGAAGAAGAAAGTAATTCCTTACAACGGCTATCACCCTGACAGWGGTCATGCTTTGTGGTTAAAGTCCTGATTGTTTTGGTAATCTCTTATATCCACTGTGTGAAGGCAAAAGGGAAATACCATTTCTAGGTATAAGGAAGACTATAAAACAGAAGGAGACTTCTGTGACATCTCTCTCTCTCTCTCTCTATATATATATATATATTTAATTTGTAAGCTTGTATTCTAGCTTGGCATTGCATTTTAAATAAAGGTGAATGCTTAATGAACTTTGTGGGTGTGGGGGGGAACACATTGTACTGTATATTTAAAAAACCTGCCTTAACCTTGGCAGATTTTTGCTTTTGGTTCACATGTTGCTGACCAAAACTACAATTTTGTTCTGAATGTGCATTTTTAATTTATTCAAGTTAACTTATTCAATTTACTMACTTAGTTACTTCTTTGACCTGTCTGAGTACATATGTGGCTCTTTGAGACTTTTTTCTTCAGTTTAGAAATCCTAGGCCTTTTTTAAGAAGTAGGGAAAATATAAATTACTTCAACAGAAAAGCCTGTAATTAACTTTAAAAAGCAATGAGGAATGTGCTTTTAAACTATGCTCTCATAAGTCTAATCTTCTGAGGGTTTAGTACCACATATATAAATATTAAAGGTGGTTAGATATAATCTGATGATATGCACTTCAATATAACATTAGTATTTGCTGCTGTGTTCAGTGTAGGTTAGCAAGGGCTCTTTGAGTTTGCTGGGTGGATATGGCAGCTTTAGACCTATTTATTTGTAGCACATCTTTAATTGTCTCATTCCTGTATTGATTCCAGGAGATCTAAATGTGTTGGTCATTGTTTTATGTTAGGCTGTGAAATCTTAATGAAACTTGCCCAATTGTTAGACACTACTCAGGAGGAGCCCAAGGCCCAGGTAATAGAAATACCCACTGTGCATCTGGTCTGAGTTGTTCATTCTTGACTCAGGCCAGTATTCTTTGATAAGAAGCATATCATGTAGTCACGAGCTTTCTGACAACCAATTATTTTCCATATATTTTAACTATAGTTGAAGGATCCAAAGGAATAATCAGAAATAGCAGCTTTTAAAGACTATTTTCTATTTATTGGTTGCTGAACTGTTCCAGGATTTGCTGTGTGGTAATTTTACTTATAATAGAAATTTGCTTATTTTAGTGGTTGAGGTGCTTCTGTTGTCCTAAAACCACTTCTGGGGTTTTTAAATATAGGACCATGTTTTTGATTAGTGTCTTAAAAGATTACTATGGTGCTCAGCAAATCATATCAAGTCCTGAAGAAACCCACATGTTAAGAAAATGAGCTTTGTTGTCAAGAGACTGGGCTAATTTTAGTTGAGTGCAGCTCAGCTGTGTTTGACCAACATCCTCCCAATTTATTCTGTCTTTAGGTAGCTATTTATACAGGTGTCTTTAAGTCATTTTAAATATTTTTTCTTGAAAGTTTTAACTGAATGAGAAACAAGATAGTCTTCACAATCATATTCATCTGTTTGGAAGCGTTTAGGGAAAGTGCCTACYGATTTTCCCATTGCTTCTCCAACAGAGGTGTATGTATGTTTTGTTCATCTTCAAAGGGAGGTTATTAGATTGGAGCAATCTGAAATATGTATGAATATTTTATATTGAAAATCATGAGCATGAAACTTTATTGTTCTCTAGGATTGATGTATATTGAAGAAGAGTGGTTTCGCACATTAATCAGACATCTGTTTATGCTTTAGTCRGGGTTAGTCATTTTCAATTATGATTTATATTAAACCTTTCAAAAAGCATTAGAAGTGGCTTACAATTGTAAAACGAATGTAAAACAGGACAGTTACAATTATTTTTTGAAAAACTAAAAATTTGTAGGAAAAAACTATATTGGCACTAACAGATTATAACATTGAATGGTAAATTTAACTTCAAGTTTCTCTATGGATAAAGTCAAAAGGTAAAGCTGGGTTAAATAAGTCCTTTCAATAAGATTACTAATGTGTATGTGGAAGAAAAATGTGTTTAAATATTTATGAGAATGTAGAAGATCATGTTTTTACAGTACACAGACTTCAACCAAGAAGTGTACTGTAATGTTTTATGTGTTTAAATTTTAATCAAAAGTGGTCATTTTAGTATAATAAGTAGTTATCCTTTTTAGTAGAGGGGATGACTATAAATATGATTTGTTTGCCATTTGGWCATCCCTGCTTTGAATGTGCCTGTGGCCTTATATAATCCATTATGCTTCCAGACCATTACCTTTCCTAACAGGCAAAATATGATTTAGTAATTAAGAATTTATATGTTGGGTTACTTAGTTGAGCTAGCTTTCTATAAGCAAACAAGATGACAGGAAKCTATATCTGAGCATGAAAATCTTTRGGGCCAGCCAAACACATAGGAAACTTTTGGAACAATTTTTTAGAATGGATAAAGAACCTTCCTRTTCAGGATATTTTTGAATAAAGTTTGAGTTTGCTGGGAAAAATGGYCTGCAGCCTTAAATAAAATACTGTGAACCACTGTATTTTGGAGGTGATGGTGGAGGATAATGTGATAAAGGGAATATGCTTATGTTTATTTTTGTTAGTAAAACACGWTTAGAAAAATTGGTTAGATAATTCCCAGAAGTTGAAGCCACTCCATCAACAAACTTCACAGTCATCCATAACATGGATTGCTTAAACAACACCAAAGAAACCATAAAGGACATTGAAGATGATCATTTCTCCAAAACTGTTTTTTTGATTTCACAAAGGGTTGGCATTAACAAATCAAATTTCAATTTAGATATGTTTGAATTTTTTTTGAGTACTAGARGATTAGAGATTTTACAGAAGCAGGCATTTTTATTTCCTTTTGTAATTTCTGTCCATTTCATATTGCTAGGATACATTAACATGAAGAAACAGGAATATTTCAACAGAGCTAAGTTAAAATTCTTGGAAGTCTATAAAATTGGGAAAAAATAAGAAGAAGCTCAAACTAGTCACAGTGATGGTATCTTAGAAAACCAATTTGTTCAGGTAGCTTCATATGATGAAATTGATATTTGAATTTGCAAGTTTCTTTTGCACTTCCTTCAAAAATATGCGTTGATTTGTTCTGTTAGATTGGGAGGGCAATTTTTCATAAGCTATCAATAATCTTAACCCTTTTAAAGTCAAAATAAAAGTGCTTTAGTATAAACAGGAAGCTAAGGATAGGACATGGGCTATCTCTGTTCTACAATTTTTGCAACATCTTCTAAGTATATAATTATTATTTTTTTTTTAAAGTAAATTGATTACCATCTACTGTGATTTAAGATTCTATGCTTCAAACATAGTATTTGGCTCCAGATGAATAAATACAGAATATAAATTAAGCATAATTTTAATTTCATTCTTGGGCTTAAAGAAGAAAACTCAGGTGTGTAACAAATGTTTTTCAAAAGATCTACTTTGCCTTACCAAAAGAGAAAAAATAATGACCTAAAATCAAGAAATTCTTTTCCCTATGATGTCAAAAATTATGTGATTTTATGTTTCTAATTAAAATTTTTTTTTTCCTTGTGGTACCTTTGTTCACATTTGAGGATAAAATATTTTGAAGTAGTTCTTCAGTCTCTTCACATGGGAGTTCTTTGTTTTCTATTTATTGTCTAGACACACAACGTGACAAGAAATGCACKAAGACTACCCTTTCATGAAGGAGTGACATGTCTGTGTGCTTTTTGTTTTAAYCTCAAAGAGAGTTAGCAATTGGCTTTTTCTTGGTTTGGTTATTTTTATAATTGAGATTCTGAGCAGAGCAACAGATAATTTGGGATGCAGTAAGAATTTTTATTTTTTGCCTTTTTAAAAAATATTTTTGGCTATTGTTAAGCTCTGTGGAATTTATATTTACTTTTTAATGCTTCCATATTTGTTAAACATATTTTTAGAAACACTTGTCCTTACATGAAATCAAAGATCAGTAATTCTAAATATTCTCAAAGTTTTAACTGAAGTTCCATTAGCTTTTCAAAATGCTAATTTTCACAGAGATGTAAGGATTTTTTTTTTAACTTTTGGTTTTAAGGTTTGCAAAATAATTTAGCCTAGAAACTATTGTTGGGATATAGTGATTGCTAGGAGACCAGGTTACCAGYTCTGAACTTTAGGAAAATTGTGATTGAGGTAGGGGAATTTAAAAGGATTTGAAAATTATTTTTTTCCAGAAAAGTATACCATAAATTACTGGTGAGAATTAACATTTCTTTTTTCAGTACTGAGGACTGAACTAAGAGGCACTCTACCAATAAGCTACATCCCCAGTCTTTTATTAAATTTTATTTTGAGATGGTGTCTCACCAAGCTACAGAGCTGGCATTGTACTTGTGATGCTCCTGCCTCAGCTTCCTACGTAGCTAGGATCACAGGGTGTGCTGCCACACCTGAGAATTAACATTCTTGAACAATGGTATGATATAATAGAAGGATAACATCAAGTTGGATGTTTGTAAGTAAAAAGGAAGATGTTGTAATAGAAGATTATCAGAGTAAAATAAACTAGTTTCTTTTTAAAAACAAAAGGCAAGAAGATAGTTTTTCTATGCCCTCATTATTATTAATTTGGAATAAAAATATTTTTAAAAGGGGCTGGAGATGTGGCTCAGCGGTAGCGTGCTCGCCCGGCATGCGTGCGGCCCGGGTTCGATCCTCAGCACCACATACCAACAAAGATATTGTGTCCGCCGAGAACTAAAAAATAAATATTAAAAATTCTCTCTCTCTCTCTCTCCTCTCTCACTCTCTCTTTTAAAAAAAATATTTTTAAAACACATAGTTTTATTTTATCAGAAAAGTAATTCCTAAAGGTGCATTTTGGCAGAATATATTGTTATATGAATAGAGAATTCTCTAGCTCAACAAGTTTGGAAAATATTCTATTAGACATAGTTCAGTTCTATAGGCTTTTCAGAGCTTTTGATGTGCTAATTACTTTTTCAATCTTCCAGATTTCCAAGTTTTATTTTATTACTAAAGACATAGTCCAAAGGGACTGTACGTGTCTGTGTACATGTGCTTTTGCACATGCATTTCTTAATTTCCATTAAGCACCTCTATTTTATACATCATTTCCCTAATTTATTTAAATGTAGATTTTGTGTTGAAGTAGATGTTTTGTGGGATTTGTGTTCTGAGAAATACACTTAGGAAAAGAGTCTTTTTGATGTTTTGCTTTCATTGAGAAGTTTCTTTCTATGTTGAGTGCTCCTCCAGTGATGGTGATAAAATGGGTCAGAACTTTTTAACTATGGAATTGAGAGCAGGGTGACTTTGGGTGTTGATAGGTTGTGATTTAGGTACATGTGGGACCCTGGTCAGTCCAGCCCATTCCCCTAGAGTTGCAGTCAGCCTGGAATAGCGGTCCAGGGGTCTGAACTGGTGGTTTCAGATAATTAATCACTTCCTAGGCATTCACGAGACAGAATCAACTTGTAATGTCAGAACAATTTTCCATATCTTTTCCGGGTGTGCTTTAAAAGTGCCAAAGAAGACAATGGGCTTTTATTATATATGTAAGAAAGCATTCGGTTGCTTCCATGACAAGGCAAAGGAAGCTTAATATTTTCAAGTTTTGTTTTATAACAGAAAACATGGCCTAAATGAGGATTGTGTGTGCAGCACACTTGCACGTATTTTCATTACATTTCAGCAGATTCTACTCCTAAAGAGTTAAAACCTCACTGGACTTCAAATTTGAGGTAGCTAACTAAATATGTTTTATTTCATTTCAAAGTATAAAACCAGATCTCTAATGAGACATAAGGCTGGTTTTTTGTTCATTTGTTGCAATGTATACAGCTCATGTTTTGGATGTGTTTTTAAAAAAGCTTGCCCTTGGGCTTTGAGTTGTGATGTGATGGTGAACATCTAACCACATGAAAAGCAGTTGGATCTTTGTTCTGTTTCTTCAGTTTTCCTCTTGCAAAGTCAGAGAAATGCCTTTTAATCATTTAGTTTACATATCCCAGATCCTTGGAAATCACAAAAAATGACTTGCCAGAGTTTGAATCAGTCCTCAGCATGTCATGCACTRCAGAGAAAGCTGGGCTGGCCGTTTACTCTTTGGACTGTTGCTGCTTCTCCTGCATTGCTGGAGTCTTTATCTTGGAGAAGAAGGGGTATATTCAAACTTTTACATTGAATGCATAAAGATGACCTTTATTCCCCTTTTGACTTAATTTTTTATTTTGTAAAATAGGAGCTAATGCTTTTCCACATTTCTGGCCATCTTGAAGTGGATATTTGAGGTGTTTGTAACTTTAGCTTTTTGGATGTTTGACAGTAAAGAAGACATGAGATATATGTTTGCATTATTGGTTAACCAAGCCTGTCTTTGTATAGTAAACATCTAAACATCTGTTCTAGTGTGCAACTACTATAGTTTCATTATAAGTGATCTTAAAATAAACAATGTTGGTCATAATTTCAATATTTCTAGCCTTGCTAGTGTGAATATATTTCACTCAGAGACGATGTATAAATACCCAGAAGTGGTAATGATGATTAATGTTGTAAAGAGTTTATTCTGATGAATGAGAAACTGGATATAATGTCAAAATAGCTATTTTCTCAATAAAATCTCAAACCACCTGAATGTTTATTAATTTTTTAAAAAATGTTTTTATTTGTAGATGGAAACAATACCTTTATTTTGTTTATTTAGGTTTTGTGTGTGCTCGTGGTGCTGGAGATCGAACCTGGTGCCTCACATGTGCTAGACAAGCACTCTACCATTGAGCCATAACCCTAGCCCCATTTATTCATTCTTAATGTAGTATCTATTCCTTGAGGTGAATATATTCATGAATATATTTTAGTGGTTGAAAATAGTA